AAAAGGTCCTGTCCCGTTGGGCCTGGTCCCACTGCTGTCTCTTATACACATCTAGATGTGTATAAGAGACAGGAGAGAGAGAGAGAGAGAGAGGTGCTGAATTTGTAAAGCTCTTTGCATAGTTGTTTTCAAGTGGTGAAAAAGAAGCAGCTGGCATTAGAGAGTGTAGAATTGCTAGGGATTTGGGAAGATGTTGCAGAGTGCAAGGATTAGTTCTTTTCTTCAAATGTTGAAAGAGCAGCAGGTACAATTGGAGAGAGAAGAGATGAAGGAACCGCGTAGACACTGACGATGTGAACAGACCAAAAAAAAAAAAAAAAAAAAAAAACTTTTATTTGGTTACCCATTTCTTACTATGTAACTTTGTGAAGTCGTTTGTTTTGTTTTATTTTTGCTTTTTTCTCGGTTTTGTGTGGATGACATCGTACATTCCACTTTGTGGATGCCAATTCCAATCTTTCTGATCTCATGTGGGTTGCTTGTTGTATCTGATGGCACGGGAGATTTTCCGGTTTGTAGTTAATATGGTTGGGTGGGTGGAGTTGAGGTGAGAGGAGGGGGGGAGGGGAGGAGGGGGCTGGCAAGAAGGGTGGGGGATGCTTACTAATTGTAAAATTCTGATATTGTGTTGTGTTGGTGGATTGTTGTATCTGATGGTAAGGTATGGGGGATTTCTCCATTTTTTGCAAATGGTTGAGTACATGGGGGGGGGGGGGGGGGGGGGGGGGGGGGGGGGGGGGGGGGGGGGGGGGGGGGGGGGGGGGGGGGGGGGGGGGGTGTTCTTGCAGATGAATGAAGCCTATCTAAAGTCACTGGAAACACTCAGCAGGAAGTTGATTTTTACTTATGAGCACCCTACTGCGAGGACTGCTGCTTCTCTCAAGGATGTGGAACCTGAGCTGGAGAAGTTGAGGGTGAAGGCAGTTGCCAAGGTATGTTCCCAGGGGCCGGACCACATTGGCGATATGTTCGTGCATGGAAAGTGTGAATATGGACCTAATAGTGGTCAGGTTGTTGCTTTTTTACATGAACATAGCATCCGTGGAGCCTTGTCTTCAGCCATAAGAGTACCAGAGGGCTGCCCGCCCTTTCCTAAACTGTGTGCCGCCTCGGCATCTTGACATCATATGTCCATTTTGTGGCCAGAGATCGTATGATAATTGCCAAAAAATAAAAAATGTAAAAGAAAAGATATATGCATTGTCTTCTCCGATGCTCCTGGTTCCTTCGCCGTGGAATGCGGTGGACATGGCACTTGTCAGGAGTGTTTGGTCGGGATGGTTTTGTACCAGCCACCGAGCCAACTGTTGTGTTGAAAATGCTCAGCTAGGTCTTCTGTGTCATGACCCATGTCATCCCTACTGACCCTGTCCTCTCGGTTGTCAAAGGCGGACTGACTCCTAAGTCTTGTCTTATCCTTGCCTATACTCATGTTTACTCCGCACTCCTTAGTATTCTTTCCCTTTGCCTGCCTTGGCTCGATCTTCCCTCTCTCTCTATCCATTTGCCTATTTTTAATGGTATATGCAAGTGGGGACCATTACGACACATGGGGGTGAAAGCGACTCCCGCTCAACTACATCAACATGTTATGTGCCTGATTGAAACGAGATACAGCATGACATCAAGATGTTCCGATACACATGCGCAACGACAAGAGATCTTGGAGAGAGCAATTTACACCACACCGGATGAGAGAATACACAGTGGAAGCACTTAAACCAAAAATAGAATTGAAATTACCATGGCTACGCTGGACCCGGACAGCTCATGTCCAGGGACCGAACGCATGTCCGGTCTGGTCCTGACGTCCGGACTTCTGGACATATCCGGACCTCCGGACATGCATGGTTCCGGATGGTCTGGACCGGTAAGCAGGTCCGGCAATGTCCGGACCATTAAAAAAATATTTCTGAATTTTTTTTTTCGTTATGCAGAATAATAATGCAAACCACTTTTGCCTCAGACTCATGTCAGTATTACGATCCTGGTCATTCCCAAAGTGCAAATTCACAATGAAAGACAATGCCACCCAATTGCGAAAGAAATGAAAGCACTTGCAAAGAGATAGAGACCAGAGGAGAGAGAAAGAAGAAGAAGAAGAAGAAGAAGAAGAAGAAGAAGATGTACACCAGCAAGACCAGTGACAATTCCCCCCTTCTCTCTCCACCTTCTTCCTCCTTCACTTCGCCAATCTTCTTCTTCTCCCAATAAGAATAATAACAATGAGTGGATGAATCAGAATCAATATCTGAAGTTCCCTCTTACTGCTGACTCACAACAACAACAACAATACCAAGTCCACCATAGCTATGGCTTCCCTCCTTCTGCCTCCTCTCACATGCATAGGCTATGGCGGACTACTGAGGGCCCTGCCCTCCTGTCCAAAGGACAACCCAAAGCAGCTATGGCGCTCCACTCCTGTCCAAAGGACAACCCAAAGCAGCTATGCTGCTGCTGACTGGTTCGCCATGCCTGACTCTGCCTCGAGCTTCCTTGGCACTACCCCAACTGGGGCCTTCCAGATGCAGCGCCCAACAAGGTGATGAAGACGGTGTCCACCATAGCCAGTTAGGTGCCTCGCCACTGTTACATGCTATACAGGCCCCAACCTGTTTCCCTACAGGGAAACTTCCAGGCTCTTGCCTGGAAGCTTCCTTCTGACAGGGCCTACAGGCCCCAGCCTGTTTCCCTACAGGGAAACTTCCAGGCTCTTGCCTGGAAGCTTCCTTCTGACAGG